TGACTGAATGTACTGTAGTGTAAAGCGCTTTGCGGTCCTTAGGGACTGAGTGAAGCGCTATACAAATGCAGGCCATTTACCATTTTACCATTTACTGGCAGTAAGATACATATTAACTCATTCACTGCCATTGACGTCTATAGCCGTCAGTTGCAGTGAATGAGTCAATGGGTTTAACTCATTCACTGCCAATGGCTGGCAGTGAATGAGTTAAGTAGTTCTATTTACTATCATTTTGATCTTCAGATCAATTTCCTGACCTTGAGGGAGAAGTCCCAATTCAAATGTGACAGGTTATTTCTAATAATATCACCCTTGTTAGAATCAGAGTTTCTAAGTTATACCGCATTTTGTCAATTTTTAACCAAAAAGTCATTAAGCTGACCTTGAAGATCTTTGTGTACTTGAGCAAAATGTAAAGGATGAATGTACTCTATCTATATTACTCTATTCTACATGCCTACAACGTTTATTAGAATTCAGCTAAAACCTTTCATGCCATTGTGTTTACAGAAGGATCACACACATATGCAAATGCTACCACAACATTACCTCATTTCTATTAATAACTAAGAAGCCGGCACGGTAGGTGCTGCTTGAGACATGTTTCTGCAGGCTCCAGCAGTTGGTAGGCTTGAAATTATGATGGCTCACTGTTTCACAGCAAATAATTATACAGGTTAATGTATAGTGCATCTCTTAGGCTGATTGCATGCAGGACCTGAAGAGTAATAAGATGTCCTTTGTTAATTTCATACATGTATGATATTCTTTTACTGTTAATAGCTTTGTCTGCTTGTTAAAGCTCGGGGTCCGGTACCTGTCTTCATCACCACGCCCTGACTCATGGCTCACACATGATTGGTTAACGTCTCGGAACTAATTCGTTTTATTCGTTAACCGATTGTTCGTCAACATCCAGTTTCCGTGCCAGGTCACTTCCAGTAAGACAGCACGTTCAAGACGTTGACTAATATAACATAGAAAATATTTGCATTTTTTCAGACTTTGCACATATGCCGCTTCTTTAACGTGCAGATGTAAAACGACAATGATGAAGGAAAACTCGGATCTCGCTCACTTTCTGGTTTTATCCAGTAAACCGGTTCGTTTTCTTTTCTTCTGAAAGTCCTAACCGGAAATTACTTGAAAAGCGACCGGAATCTCTTCCTGGTCGATGTGGACCGAAAGAAGACATTCAGGGTGAGGTCTGTTGTTGTAGTTGCGATAATAATGGGGAGAATTACTGACCATATGTCGGGAGAGGCCCGTGGTTTATGCAGGACTGCGTTGTGCGGCGTATGAGGCCCACTTTCATTATGCTTGAACAGATGTGCAGCGCTGCATTCTCCGTGGACACTGTGTTAGCCGCTAACGCTACAGACTAGTGCACCTGTGACCGGCTTCTTTGTGTCATTTCAAGCTGCGGTTGTTTTCCCCATTGACTGTTAGTTAACTCAGCTTATTAAGGTAAACTTTAGGAGGTTTTTTGCAATCATCCAGGGCGGCAAGCCCCAGTCACTGGTATCCGACGTGCTGTGCAATGTTGACGAAGAAGTCCGTCTCCAGAAATGCGTGGTGTTCGCTCAGTTTGCCCCTGGCTGGATGTTTATAGATCCACATAGTCCCAGAGTAGTTCCGAAAGTCAGCGATGGCGTCATCCAAAGCAAAGGTCGGAGTCAACAGTGAGACAAACGCCCTTAAAGACAGTAGAAGCAACGCGAGCAGCTCAGCTGAGGACGCCTCACCACATAACCGCACATATTGCCTTGATGACCTGGAGACTGTCGCCACAGTCGGTGAGTTGACCACCACATTTGATTTGTCCGTAACTGTTCGGGTGTCTTATCTTAGGCTTACGCGGGGTGTTCCCCAGAGATGTTTGACGCCAGAAAACCTTTTTTAAAATTGATGAGTTTTCATATTTGAGATCTTTTCCTTAAAAACATAAAACTCTCACCCTGCACACCTGGACCAGGTGCTGATGGTGTGCAGGGTGAGAGTTTTACAGTCTGTGCTGATTGGTTTCTATGATCGTAACATGTTGTTCTAAGGAAGCAGAAGCTTTGCTGGAGTGTTCAGTGATTTCCTGTTCAACGTCTGCTGTTATTGGCAGTCGTTGCCAACTGAAAGGTTCTCTGCTGTGAAACAATCGGATCTGTTCTGTTTCCTCATTAAAATGATCCCTCAGTTGGTCTGAACTGTGAGCGTGCAGTGTGTCACTCTTACTCACACGTTCACTCTTCTGCGTTTTCATTCAGTGTCCAGTGTGTGGCTGTTTGGAGTCATCGACTGTGCTGTGCTCAGGTCTGAACCGAATCCTGACTTTGATTCATTCCCATAGAAACTGTTGGAATTGAAGGTTCTGGTCTGAATGAATCTTCTACCGTTTCTTTATCTGTACTTTAACCAGTAGTGTAAGCTCACTACTGCTGCTGCCCGTCACCCCTCCCAGGGTACGCGCCACCAAACTTTTAAGCTTACCTTTTTTTTTCATTTAAATACTCATATTGGTTGTATCAGCAGCAAAAACCACATATTCAAACAGAACAAAGACCATTTTTACATATTTACATCATGGACAATAGTTACCAAAGCAGAGTACTGTACAGTTATTAAAATTAGAGTACAGATAAGTGGCAAGCCCAGGCTGTAGTGTGCAAACAGAGCCGGATACTGAAAGGTGCAGTTACAGCGCTGATGTAAACATCTGTTTGTTGGGAGCAGTTCTGATCGTGCAGTCTGACAGCTGCAGGGAGGAAGGACCTGCAGAAACGCTCCTTCATGCATCGAGGATGCAGCGGTCTGTCACTGAAGCAGCTCTGCAGCAACATCTACCTGCATGGGCTGGGAGACTCTGTCCATCAGAGATGTTATTTTGGCCAGAGTCCTTCTGTCTCCCACCACCTGCACTGGGTCCAGGGTGCATCCCAGAACAGAGCTGGCCTTCCTGATGACTTTATCCATATAATACGGGTACCATAGGTCAGATTATTAGGTGCGCTCAGACTTGATATGGTACAAAAAAGTAAGAGGCATTTAAAAAAAAAAATTAGAACAATATAAGCACCAGTGTCAATAACAACACTGTTTTTCAGCTGTGCCCCCACACACCGTGTGGTATACATGCACACTATGCCTGACCTAAATCCAGTAGAGCAGCATGTTTTGGTCCACCTAACCTGCCCAGATTCACCTCAACGATGCCCTGGTCCAGATCTGCGAGGAGACCCTGTCCCTTGTCTCATTAGGAGCGTCCCCCATGTCAGACGTCCATACAGGCACATAAGGAGCATCCTGCTGCATCAGTTTATCACTTTGTTTTTTGGGGTCTCTTTGAATTTAGCTTACTGTAGTTTTTTTCCACATTTGTATCAAATGTGGCATCCATTTGTTATTAACACATTATCCATTGAGCAGCATCAGGACCTGCACCAGTGGGGGGGTGCATGGTGGGTCCTGAGGTCCTGAGGTCCTGAGTTGGAATCCACCACCTGGCCTGTTCTGCATGCGTGTTCTACCCATGTTTGCGTGGCGTCTCTCTGGGTAATCCAGCGTCCTCCAAACACATGCATTTGGTGGGGTTGGGTTACTTGATGATTTTAAACTGCCCATGGGTGTGAATGGTTGTCTGGAGTGTGCTAGGCTCCACCCCCCATGATCGCTCGGCACCATATTTTCTTTGCTGACTGAATCCATCCCTGCCAGGGTTGCACCTCAGCGTCAGTCCAGGACTTAAAGAGAAATGTCGCACTTTTTAAACACAAATAATAGTTTTATCCTTTTAATATGCAAACACTGCAAATAAGTATCTCATCCAATAATACTTCAGTCAGTATTGGGCGTCAGTGTGCTTCATCATAACTGTGTGGAGGTTACCCTTTGCTCAGGTCAGCTAGTATAAATGAATGAAGGCTCGTGGTTATCAGTAAACAATAAATATAAAGGTTCAGTAACAACTCGATTTGGTGCAGTTTGAACTGAACAGATTTGCTGTGATTCAGTGACTACAAATGGCATCCAATTGAATAAAACTATGGGATGACACCATTTATGAATTGTTATGGAAGTGAAAAGTATTCTTCTTCTTCTTCTTCTTTTTAAACATAATTTCCTCTGGAAGGATTCTGATTCTGATGCTGATATCTGATAGGCCAATAATGTCACCTGACCCATGTGTCATCTGGGCTGTAGAGATCAGAAAGCTGCCATGAACATGCCCAGGCAGAGGTTGGACATGTTCAGGCAGCAGGCTGCCGTGAGGACACCTCACTGTTGGCACCTGCTGTACGTGATGCCACAAGAACTCGGGCAGAAACCTTCGGACTCTTAGCCAGAGGACTTACAGCCCAGCCAGCCGTGGGCTGGATTTAATAATAATAATAATAATGGATTGGATCTATATAGCGCTTTCCAAGGCACCCAAAGCGCTTTACAATGCCACTATTCATTCACTCTCATATTCACTCACTGGTGGAGGCAGCTACGGTTGTAGCCACAGCTGCCCTGGGGCAGACTGACAGAAGCCAGGCTGCCATATCACACCATCGGCCCCTCTGGCCAACACCAGTAGGCGGTAGGTGAAGTGTCTCGCCCAAGGACACAACGACCAGGACAGAGAGCCCGGGGATCGAACCGGCGACCTTCCGGTTACAGATGCGATTCCCAACCCCCTGATCTCTCTTAAGCACTGCATTTTAATCAGTGTGACAAACAAGTGCACGTGCCACACGTTACTTGAATTCAGAAAAGCTCGAGTCCGTTAGATATCCAATTTACAATTGTGTAAACTGGATGTGTAACTGTAACTGTCTGTAGGGATGAAAGGAGCATGTCATAGAGTTTGCACTTAGAGACCAGTTTACTCAAGCTCGGCGAGTTTCATGATGTCTTATACTGATGTCACAAAAGTCCAGATGAACAGGATCAGCGCTCCTGGACTGAGCGTGCATCAAACCCTTACCTTCCTGTTGCTGCTGTCACCCTGACGCTCGTCTCCACCCTCTCCACACTGATCCGCCTCTCTTCTGCACTGTGCACTGCTGTGGATGTTTGCGGCATTTCACAGCTTGTTGTGTCTTTATTGTTGTACCTGTTTGCCTCTCATGCACATGCATGTTTTCTGTTTTGCTTCTACTGACATTCATCCTTCTTCTCTCCAGTGCATACCTCCACCTGTCAGGCTCTCATCTCTTTCGCTGTATATCATAATGTTGTCTGAGAACATCATAGTCCAAGCAAACTCTCATCTGCCTCGTCTGTGAATCTGTCCATCGCCAGTCCAACGAAGAAGGGGCTCAGAGTCCCCCCGATGTCACTTCAACCCAGCCCTGATCCGTCTGTCACTCCTGCACACCTGGCTCATTCTCACAATGTCCAGTCCAGCTTTCTGAGTCATTGACTGCTATGCACTCCAGACATTGGATCAGTTCCCTTAATTTACTACAGCACTCCAAACGTCTTATGAATAACTACAAGCCTAATATTAGCTGTCATAGTCAGATTAAAAGCACCTGGAAATGACAGTTTCTATAATAAATATCTTTACAGCTGTGATCCCTGATGGCTCGCTGGGCCCTGTTTTAAAATCCTCTCTGATTTATTTTATAGAATTTTTCCTCCTCCTCCTTCTTCTGGTTGCATTTCCTCTCTGTATGAACTGAACATGTGTTTGTATCTCTGTGTGGTTCAAGTTGAACTTCTCATCTGCTGCCGGTGTGTGTGAGTGTCCTCCACATATGTGAGTCACCCAGTCTGTTATGGGTCTTAAAGTTCTCCTTGTTGTATATTTGGATCAAGATCAAATGAAAAAAGTTCCCCTGGCAGAACGATTTGAGTTGGTCACTGTTTACTAAAGGGTGGAAACTGCACCCATCTGTCACCTCTGCTGTCTTTTTGAATGAAGAAACCATGTAAGGAGCCTTCAAAATGATTTCATTATTAGTAATAGTCTAACATACGCTCATGCAGCATTTTGGTAATATGCATTAGGCTGCACACAAGCCAAAGCCTAATGAGTGCTGGGCAGGTGTGCAGCAGGGGATCGCATTCATCCGCTGTTTCTGGAAGCAACGGCATAAAAATCCTATTTGCCAACTCATTTTGTCTGATGAGAGGGATTTGGTGGCTAAAACAGACCAGCTAAAGCTCTTTATATGTGCACTTTAATTGTCATTGAAAACATAAGACAGCTCTCTGGTGCCATTAGGTGAGTCTGCTGCTGTCACATGCTGCGGTGGCCTTTGTGACCGTCACTCACAGTTTGGGGATTTGTTGATGCTGCTTTTATTTATTTATTGTAACTGGCGGTGCAGTGGGAATGTGTGTGTTGCATGCAGTACAGTTGTTTTGTCTGCTTCAGAAGCAAACAGGTAGATGAAGAGTTATGGATCAGTTTCAATTCAAAGTACATTATTGTCTGACGTCACCTGGCCTTCACTTTCATTTCAGTGTCACTGCTTGGTGTCTGATCACAACACTGAAAAGCATCTCTGTGCTTAGTAACATAACCGAGTGCCTGTGAGAACAGTTCTGTTCTTGGATGAGGGGAAAGGCTTGTCTAACAACATGCTAATTATGTAGTTAAGTGCACTGACGGCTTGCTAGCATTAAAGCTCTCCAGACTGGCTTTTGTTAAATCCTCCCACCATAATGTTTTGGCACAGTCTGCATGGAGGGCAACTGAAGAGTACACAGCTGTGCGTTTCATTCACCCACTATTCATGTCCTATTATAAGAAGCAGAGCCATCCTCTCTAACCCAGCTACAAACCAGTACAGAAACTGCCATTCTCTGACTA